GTATGTTAGTAGAAGAATATGTATACTTAATTCTGAAAGCCCACTAGATCTCAAGCGATAATTTGAGAAGTTTTGTTTGTGGTTTGTGGAAAACAAAGATACTGGAATTGCTACTTTCAATCAATTAGTCCATTTTCTCATTACTTATGCGGCTGAGTCTTATAGCCGCCGGGGTACAATGACCTTTTTGTCATTATTTTGGCAAAAATTTCCCGGATTGTCACGTTCCAGAAAATAATCTTCAGAATGTCACGTTACTTAACTTGCAACAATACCCAACAAGTTAGGTATGAACATGTGGCAGCAACTTTGAGGCCACAAAACTCGTTGGACAATCTAGCACTTTTCTCAGGAATAAATCTTTGGTGCTACTGTAGCATCAAGATTCAGTGCATCTCACCAATAGGAGCATTACATATTATAGGAGAGAGAAAAAATTTGGCAGAGAAAAGATAACTTTAGCTGACATGTAATATTTCTATTGGTGAGATGTACTGAATCTCTGGTGCTACAGTAGCACCAAAGATTTATTCTTTTCTCAGTCAACGTGTCAGACTCTTCAATCTGAGATGGCATTACACGTGGCTAAGTCGCTGCACTGTGCAGCTACTTATGTGGCACTTTTTTTGACATGTGGCCCATAGTTGCCACATTGCACAACGAGTATAGTTGGTTTGACACAAGCAACGACTTATGTGACACTTTTTTGACACGTGGCCGATAGTTGCCACACTACTAAACGAGTATCGTTGGTTTGGCACAAATATTCATCTACAAAGAAAAGCTGAGATTTTTTATGTTGACACATTTACTCATGCATGGGTGGGTTTTTCTAAGGCAGATGGGATATGATTAATGCAGATGCGACTTTTTTTTTAGAAAGCAAACAGAAAGTTTGTTTTGTTACTTTGTTTATAAAGGGAATGTTATATTATATTTCAAATAATAAATTTTATGTTAAATATTTCAATTTAAGCAATAATATTTATCAAACTTATGTGGTAAACAATAAATATGACAAAAAAATTTATAATAAATATTTACTAATTGTATTATATAAAAACTTTAAAATAATAATTTTCACATTTCTCATTAATGCTAGCATCCACAAAAATAATTACAAATCATAGAATAAAATTTTGTCATTTTTATTGTTTTACTATGTAAGTTTTATAAATATTTAACTTTTATTGCTCATATTGAAATTTTTAACATAAAATTTATTATTTGAAATATAATATAAAATTCTCTTTATAAACAAAGTAACCAAACAAACTTTCTGTTTGCTTTCTAAAGAAAAGGTCGCATCTGCATTAATCATATCTCATCTGCTTTGAAAAATCCACCCTTGCATGATTGACGTGTCAGCATAAAAAATTTGTCAAACCAACTATACTCGTGCAGTGTGGCAACGATGGGCAACGTGTCAAAAAAGTGCCACGTAAGTCGCTGCTCAGTGCAGCGACTTAGCCACGTGAGCTGTCATTTTAGACTGAGCAGTCTGACACATTGGCTAAGAAAAGTGCTGGACATGAGTTTTATGGCCTCAAAATTGTTACCACATGTCCATACCTAACTCACCAAGTGTTGTAGCGAGTTGGGTGATGAGGCATTTTGACAAATTTTGATTGAGCGTGATATTTCGATAAATATTTGCCTAACACGTGGTAAAAAGGTTGTTGTCCCTAACAGACACAATGTTCTAGATGGGATTCAATCCTTGGAATAAGAAGTCTGTAAAAGAGTCTTGGTCCACTTGAGCTACGACTTTTGGGTGGTGTGAATTCATGTGGCTGGAAAGTTGAAGATGTTTCAATATCTTTGTTTATTCTTATATTTATGCTTGGGACTTTAGTAATAGTGTTATTAAAACTGGTATGACCCGGTCAACCTGACTAGTTGGGCTACTCAATTAACTGGTTGTGCATGTAACTCGATCAATAACCGGTGAACCAGTCATTATCAAGCTCAATTGGTTCTAACCCAATGTTAGTTTTCTGGTTGAACAAGTTATTAAAAATTGTGACAAATTATTTCACCATTATTGTACTTCTAGGATTCGATCTACCACCTAAGAGTAAGAAAGTAAAATGTTAATCACTAAGCCACATCGTTTTAGTTGTCATATAACCTTTTATTTATATATTTATTACATATTTTTATATAAATTCAATTCAAATGATTCAATCTGTAATCTACCAGTTGAACCAGTGACTTATTGGTTTGGTATCTGGACTGAGTCAATTTCCTCCACCCTCAATGATGTTGACTTCTGTCTCTGATAAAATATGTAATTTTGTGTTCTACGTCAGCTTATTTTAAGGTCAACTTTTACTTGTGAGGCCATTCAAAAATTATTAAGCTCATTGCTGATCAATCAAACCTGGGAAGAACGAGACGTGAAAATAATGCGAAAGCAAAATATCATCAGATATACCAAGTTACCTCCCTCTAGACACATAGGGTCACCTTTGCACAAGCCATGAACAAAGGCAAATTGAGGTAGCTTAAGGTGGTGTTTGGCAAGCCTCTTTTTCCAATTTTCTTTGGCATGTGGCGTGTGGATTCCAAAAAAGACATGTTTGGTTAGATGGATTCAGATAAAAAAACTAGTGATCCAAAATGCATGGGTTTTGAGAAATTGTTAGGAAAAAGACGCTTTGTCCACTGTTTGTGTAATCAATATACCCTTTTGTAGAAACAAATTTGACAGCTGTGCTCTTTTTTTAAATTTTAAAATCAGGGTTATTTTAGTAATTTAACATTGTTTTCCCATCTATATCTCACCTCCAACCAAACATACATACCCTAAAATTTACCTAATTTTTCCAGTAAAGTTTTTCCCCACCAAACAACTTTTTTTTACATTTTTCTACCTATCTCACTTTATCTATCTTTACAATCATTTCTCTATCTATTACATTTCCCTACTATTCTAAAAAAATTTCCTCAACCAAACGCCCCCTAAGGAAAAGGGTGTAGGAAATCACACAGCACATAGTAAGCTATAAGCCTCACATTACAACAGTGGAGGAAAGTCAAATTTTGAGGTCCACTACTGAACCCAAGCATCAGATACAATATTATGAAATGCATTTGACAGGGCCAGATATCAGAATATATTATCAACCTAAAACATAAAACATAACAGTATCTTTGAATTTATTCAAAAAAGAATGGAAATATATAATAAAGGATTGCAGCTGGGGCTGAGCTAGGAGGGACATGACTCCCCTGAACTTTTTGTCAGTTGTATTAGAAAGCACTGTTCTCATTGATAATGGGAAGAAAATTGAGGAGTGAAAATCTCATACCTAATTCGAGGGTTTACTCAAGTGATAATAAGAGCTTGGGACAAACAAGTTATCAAAAGAACAGTGTTCAAATAAATTCAAATATATTTGTAAATATACATGAATTAAAAGGATTTCAAAATCAAATGAATTCTTATTTTATAACCCTTCAAAAACAAAATTTCACTGAATCAAATCAATTCCAAAAACCAGTGATTGAGAAAAACTCGAAGCATTTTGTTCTGGATGGCCCAAGTACTGGAGTGACCCAATTACTCAGGCCCAACCCTCAGCTGGCCCAGTTACTCAAGCCCAACCCCCAGCCTTGTTTCGCGTCAGCCCTTAGGGCTGATGTAGACCCTCACGATCTCCAAGACTGCAGCACGTCCAAGAGATACACCAAAATGTCCCACTTCGGGACATTAACCGCTAAAGGCAGTCGCCATAAGCACTACAAAGGAACCTGCCCCTTTGTTCAGCGCTGACATCGCCGGGTGCAGTGGTTGCAGCACTGCCATTGTGGCAGCGCCAACCACGCCTAACACTGCCATCATGGGTGTGCACCCCAAGAAGGGTTGACCCCCACCTCACCAACCCGCATCATCTTCCTTATAAATAGCCCTTAGGGGGCACACCACTAGATATCTTTTATGTACTGTTGTTATGCCCATTTACTTCCAAGTCATTCTCTTGTTATTTATCTGCCATTGATAACAACTTGCTACCTCTTGGAACTATACCTTCTAGCCTGGTCTTTACCTCAGCTAGTGGTGTAATCCATATAATAACATTACCCTCAAGGGTACATAGTGGGCTCACAGAACTGAACGGTACATTGGCGCCGTCTGTGGGAAACTATAAACTTCTAGTCTCATTCTCCTACCAAAGATCCACAAGACGTGTGTTACGTTTTGATAACAAACATGGTTGTCACAACCAGAAGAGCGGAGCAAACCAGGGCTGTCACTCCTGACGGTCATGTACAAACAATACGTTCAAATTCCCCGCCATCGATGCATTCAGCCCCAGCCGAGAGACCCCCCGGCGAGATGCTCCAACCTGTATTACAATCCGTCGCTCCACAAATGCAAGCAGTCGAACCCAGGATAGCACAGTTGAATTATCGTGCGCCTATGCGTGAAATGCAAGGGGAAAACCTGGTACAAGACCAACCCCCGCGACCAGGAGTTCGTTTTAGAATGCCTTTCCACACTATTGCCCCACCGGTCATTCCCGTTCCACGAGCCCATCGCCCACAACCAGCCCAAAGTCTACCAGTAGCCATGCACAACGATTACCGAGCACCAATGGTCACCCCGTTCCCTATGGGACTATACCCCCCTTTCCCTCAACTTTACCCAACTGGTTTTCCTTTCCATGGTTACGCTACCCAACCGCAGAATCCGGCCATCCCGCTGCACCAAGTGTCCTATCAAAACCAAGGTCAACAACCGTATGTCGCCCAACAGCCTTTCAATCACGCCTCGGCCCTCTCCTACTCTGTTGAAGCCCCTCAACCACAAATAGACCGTCCTGCCCGAAACAACTATACGAGTCACGCCAACCCATACGTCGGGGCGCAACAAACCCCTGACTGATATCCTCCGGTTAACACCCATACCCCTTGGTTTTAAAGGACCCTCCAATATCGCCACATATGTTGGAGATGCAGATCCTTTTGAATGGATCCAGAAATTTGAGGCAACAATGACTCTCCATGGTGAAACAGACCTCCTCATGTGCAGGACTTTCCCCACGCTACTTGGGGGGCAAGCTTTAACATGGTACACAACCCTACCAACTGGTAGTATCGCTTCATGGGACGAGTTGGCAAGCAAGTTTCAGTCTCACTTTGCCACAAGTCGCCCTGTGCCAAAATCTGTCCACTCTCTAGAAAAAATACGCCAGCAGCCGGGCGAGTCCCTCAGGTCCTTTTTAGACCGCTTTGATAAGGAGGCCCTACAGGTACAAGGCCTAGACCCCAAAGTACAGGTACATATACTTCTTTCGGGCTTGCGACATGGTGCGTTCGCGTACGAGCTCGCCCGCCATGAGATCACTGACCTGGAAGAAGTCAAGAAGGTGGCCCAGGAGTACATGCGAATCGAAGAGTACAAAGGAAGCCGAGTTGACGACGCCCACAGTCAAGAAAAGGCAGTCAGTAAACAGAAGAACCAAATGGAAGAAAGTAAGAAAGGAAACAAACCGGCCAAATATTCAAACCGCCCTTCTGGGCGCGACACATCAGGTCGTCATACACATGCCGTCCTACAAATGGAGTATAAGGAAGAATCCAAGAGCACCCAGCAGCCTCAGAACCCGCCTAAAGAAAACAACATGTACTGCAAGTTCCATCGCAGCAACGGTCATAACACTGAGCAGTGTAGACACCTCAAAGACGAAATTGATGAACTCATCAAAGGCAGAGAGCAGAGGCGAGGAGGAGACGGCACACACCCTTCTGGAATAGGAAGGCGATATCGTGAGCGCAGCAAATCGCCTGAAAGAAGATGAACGAATCAATCTGGCCCTAGACCCTCCTACAACTGTGACAGGAGAGAGGATTCCCCCAGGAATCGCAGAGCGCGAGCAAGTCCAAACCACAGAGGGAGGCGTGAAGAAGTGGACGAAGACTCAGCCGCGGTGAAGCACGGAGTGATAAACATGATTTCAGGCGGACTGAGCGGAGGAGGAGAGACGGCGAACGCCAGAAAGAAACATTTGAAGCAGTGTCTGGCGGTCGCTGGGAAAGTCATTGGCAAAGCAAAGAACAACCCTGGTCCAACCAGACCTCAAATTGTTTGGGACAACAGCGATTTGGGCGATGTCCTCCCTGGAAATGACGATCCACTCGTCATTCAAGCTATAATCGCCAACTTCGGCGTTAATCGCGTTTTTATTGACCATGGCAGCTCAGCCGACATTTTGTTTTTACCATGCTTTAAAGCGTTAGGATTTACTGTTGATAGTTTAACTCCTGTTACAGGTGAACTCTCAGGTTTCAACGCTACCACCACAAAGCCACTGGGAGTGATTACCTTGCGACTTTCCCTTGGAACGCCGCCCACCTCACGATCCGCAGACATCCAGTTTTTGGTGCTCGACACCCCATCAGCTTACAACACCATTCTTGGTAGAAGGATGTTCGCCGCCTTCGAGGCAAGCATCTCACACCCCCACTTGGCAATGAAGTTCGTTGCCCGTGACAACAAAGTCGCCACGGTGCGAGGAGACCAGACGATAGCCCGAAGCTGCTACAACATATCCTTGCGGCCAATGGCCAAAGCTAGTTTCAATGATGAAAGGGCGCCCAAACAGAGGGTGACCTCGCCAACCGAAAGAAATCCAGGCGAGGAGACAAAGGAGCATGACCAATGTTTTTTGGTAGAATTTGATGCCAGAGATGATCCGCGCGTGGAACATGACAGACCCACGCCTGATGGGGTGTTGGAACATGTTGTATTAGGAGATGCAGATCATCAAACAACAACCATCGGGGCCACCATCGTCCCCGAAATGAAATGCAAGTTAATCAAGTTGCTCAAAGATAACAAAGATTTGTTCGCATGGAAGCCTTCCGACATGCCGGGTATCAATCCAGACGTTTGTTGCCACCGTTTGTCGGTGGATCCCAAAGCCAAGCCAGTCGCCCAGAAAAAGAGGAAATTCGGTCCCGACCGCCAGAGGGTGATTGATGAAGAAGTCAAAAGGCTCCACGCCGCCGGGTTCATCAGGGAAATCGAGTACACAACTTGGTTATCCAACCCAGTATTGGTTAAAAAACCAAACGGCGCATGGAGAATGTGCGTTGACTACACCGACCTAAACAAAGTCTGTCCAAAGGATGCTTACCCTTTTCCTAGCATTGATCAGTTGGTCGACAATGCGTCCGGATTCAAAATACTCATTCATGGACGCATATTCAGGTTACAATCAGATTCCGCTTCTTGAAGAAGACAAGATAAAACGGCGTTCATCACTCAGAACGCCAATTACTGTTATACAATGATGCCCTTCGGTCTAAAGAATGCTGGGGCCACTTACCAAAGGATGATGAATGAAGTATTCAGAGACCTGATTGGCAATTGCATCAAAGTATACATCGATGACATGATCGCTAAATCTAGAACGTCGGAACAACATTTGACTGACCTGCAAGGAGTATTTGAAAGACTCAGAAAATTCAACATGCGTTTGAATCCCAGCAAGTGCGCCTTCGGAGTTCCCGCGGGCAAATTCCTAGGATTTATGCTCACTGAGCGAGGCATTGAGGTTAATCCCGATAAGTGCAAGGCGGTGATTGAAATGCGAAGCCCACAAACAATTAAGGAAGTTCAGCAACTGACAAGAAGGTTAGTAGCTCTCACTCGTTTTTTGGCCAATTCGGCCCCTCTTTTTGGCTTAC